AGGGAGATTGGTGTAGCAGACCTTGGCCGCCGTGAGGGCGGGTGGGAATGCGACGCAGACGCGTCTGCTGCGGTTCTGAGTCTAGAGCCCTCGCAGGCAATCCCATAGCGACTTGTAATATATGATAAAATCAAGCAGAAAAAGACATGGGAGACCGGAATGACCATCTCTGTTTTAAGCTTCACAGCAAAACGGGTAAATCCTGTTGCGTAACCAGATCGGTGAGCGCCCTGTCATTCGTCATATTCCCAATGACAACCGACAAAACGAGTCCGTGCTGCAATGGTAGAGTGTTGCACGCCCTGACCAAATGCCTCAGGTTCCAATCTCGGGGGTCGCCGCCCCTGGGATTGGGTACGATAGACTGATTACGGCTAACAAGTCAGAAATGGCCATTCCGGTCTCCCTTGTCTTCGTCGGTCCCACTTCCGCATTGCGTTGAGCTGTTCGAACAAGTCTGGACTTAGACCTACATTCCAGAAATTGCCGACTGTGGTTCCTGTTTTCTTACCCTTCTTTATTATCCCCTCTGACCTTCAGGTATCCACAGTCACGCCTTGCATGAATCCCTTCAAGCTGACGGACTCCCCCAGCTCTACTCCCTCGGCTCGTATTCCCATCGTTGCCGCTTCGTCGTCGTCGTCGCGGGAAGACGACAGCCGTGGTGGATGGCATGAGGAGTCCGCGCCGCACTCCTCTCGGCGTCCCTCCAGCCTCCTAGCCCTGGCTATCATGCGTAATTATGGTGCGGGCAAGTCTTCCGGTAGCCAACTCTACAACGGTCTGGGCGGACATGCGCCTAGTTCTTTGGCCTTCTCCTCCTCCAGCCGACCGCCCCTGTTGGCCCAGCAGTGTCCGCCTAGAGTTCAGCCAAAGAAGACGAGTAAACATAAGCCAGCCAAAGCAACAACAGCCCACCACTCGGTTCCGCTGGATGCATTTTTACGAAAATAGTGCATTTAGCTTACAGTCTGCGTATTGTACATTTCCAACGCACGTTACTATTTTGTACAGCAGTATCTTTT